TTATTCCAAGGAGGAATTGTCCATCCTTCTGTCCAACGTGACGGTGCACGACGAGGGCGTTTACAGCTGCTTCCACTACGGCAGGCGCTTCAAAAACCACAGCCAGAAAGTTGAGATTTTGGGTAAATTCTCTCACTTTTGTTTTCTTTTTTTTTCTTTTTTTTTTTCCCAGAGGAGCAGGACGGCAGAACCAGCTCCTCACATCCAAATTTCATTTTTCCACAAGATTTTATGGCGTTTAACACATCATCCCAATAACCCTCATAAAAATGAATTWAAAAAATACCCCAAAACTGATCCTAAACATTCCTGCTGCAGCTGCTCCTTCTCTCCCGGTGCTGGAAGCATCCCGAGATGCAGGAAGAGGCATCCGACTGTCCTGCCACACCCAGGGGTGCAAACCCCAGCCCCGGATTTCCTGGCTGCTGGACAATGGGATAGAACTCCCAGGTAAGAGAYCAAAAATCAGTGTTTGAGCGCTAAAATTTAATTTTTTATCAGTTTTGTGCTGTTTAAAAATGTTCAGGATTTTGGGAGTAACTCTCCATCCTTCCCCTTCCATTCCCAGCTTTAATAATTCACTGTAAATATTTGCAYTAATCAGAAAATAGCGAATAAATCTTAATTACTGGCAACACCTCGGTTTCACCAGGGCTCAGCAGGGGCAAAGTTGCTGTAATTACTGAGCTGCTGCTGCTAAAAATGATTTCCTTCCCAGCAGAAATGCTCTGAAATGTTTTTGGAGCTCTCACAGCTTTGTTGGGGGATGGAAAAAGGGTTGAGAAAGGGTGAGAAAGGGATTCTCTGTGAAGGTTCATTTGGAAATAAAGAATTCCTTTAATTTAAGGGTAACAGAGCAAAGGGAAGTGCCAGGATCTCTGTGTTATGAACAGAAATATTTGTGCACTTCGGGAGAAYATCTGAAACACCTCCCTGTCCTCCAGGGCTGTTCAAACAAATCTCTGTCACGATAAATAAATCTTAAATTTTATCTATATTTTTATTTTTGCACATCATCAATGTTACCTGAAGGAATTACATCAGATTTACCCCAATTCCACATGGCAAGGCACAAAATCCTTGTGTTTAACTCCCCACAGATGGAAAAGAGGAAGAGTAAAACCTGCATTGCAAGAATGATGTAAAACAGCATTTCAGGGTCATAGAAACGCTTTGATTTATTGCTTTGGCTTAGAAAAACCTCACTTTTCCCCTCCTCGTGGGTGTGCAGGTGACAGCAGGCACCAGCTGGGAGCGGATGGGAAGAAGTGGAGCTCGAGCAGCATCCTGAGGGTGCTGAGATTCAACCCCAAAGCCACGGCCAACTGCACAATTCAKCACCCCGCGCTCRGGGRGCACAGCCTGGTGGCTTCTTTTCAYTTCCAGGACCTCCCCAGMGCAGGTACTGCAGCTCCTCCAGCCCRAATTATCACCCTGAGGGGGTGAAAATTATTTAAATACACATGGGAAACCCAGAGGTTGCTGTCCTGTGTGTGGGATCAGGGCAAAAAAGGGTTTGGA